GAGCCACTTAATCTAAAGTAAGGCCAATTAAATGTATTAATTCTAACTGCCTTCAGGTTTTTCCAGTCTGGATGATGTGGAAATGTCATGCAACAGTATAACAGTGATGTCCACTCTGCAGCAGTAATATACATATATCCTCTATGGAGCCCTAATATAAACATATCCTCAATATAGCCATATTAATATCCTCTAAAGCTCTGTAATGCACAACATCTGCTATATTGCAGTGATGTATAATATCTCTATACAGCGGTAATGTATTGATGTAATGAGGTACCGTCTGCTCTGTATGCGAGTGTCTCTCCTGGAGCACCGATATCCAGACCTAGATCAGCAGTCTGAGACAGAAGAGGAGACTCAGTGTCAGCTATAATCAGTGTTCAGATCATCATGTGGTAATATCGGTCTCTCTGTACCTCATTCCAGGCCATGGGCTCGGTTCTGAAGAGTGAGCTGGTGAGCTCCACTGACAGACGCTTCTTATAGTCCTGTGGTTTGTCCTCAGACATGCGGAAGAGCACGGCTGCGGCGTATGTGGCTGCAGAGATGAACAGCAGAAGTCAGACAAAACTACTGTGCATTTACATTCAGGAGTTAAACACACACCGTGCACCGAATATCTCCTCCTGTAAGCAGTGTAAAACTCTGCTCTTATTATATTGAATAAAAAGGCTGTTTGTTAGAGACATGCTGATGCGCAGGTTCTCAATCTCAATACAAAAATAAACAACAACATCAAATATCCCGAATATTTCAACAAAACCTGCACATAAATCAACCATAATGAAAAATAAAACACATTTTACACTTGAAAATATAAAGTGCAGAAGAGTTGAGCAATTACTGACAATGATCATTATTATTATGGAGTCAGACTAGGGCAGGAGTGACCAACCCTGTTCCTGGAGATCGACCATCTTGCAGATTTCAGTTGCAACCTATATTAAACACACCTGGCTGTAATTATCAAGTGCTGTTCAGGTCCTAATTAATTGATTCAGGTGTGTTTGAGCTGAACTTTCTAGGAAGGTTGATCTCCAGGAACAGGGTTGAGCACCCCTGGTCTAGGGTTTTAGTTTTGCAAACAAAAAAATAAGTTAAGCAAAAAAAATTGTGTAATGAAAAATCTCAACAAAAAAAAAAAAATAATAATAATAATTCACAGAATTTTGGGAATAAAAAGAACTGCAAATAAAAAAAAAAATCAAGTGGTGCAAAAAATAAAAATGTGCCTTTTTAAAAATTATTCATGTATTTGCTGAATATTTTTTCCAGTATTGCCTTTACAAAACCTCTGAAGTCAATTGCAATGCTCATATTGATTTGCTTGTCCGTTAACCAAGAGTTTGACTTATTTTTGCACTTCACATTTCTGTGCAATTAATTTTCTGGCCCTGATTTGATGAGGGGGCGGAGTCACTAGGGCATGGACGGCCCAGACCTGCCTCCTATGAAGCGACGTCATCATTAGCTGGAGAGATCATGACACAAAGGAAACCGGATATAAATCACCGTCATAAATCTAATCGAGATCAAGTAAAATACCGGAATGCTTACATTCTTGGGGAGATGTTTAAATCGTCAAACAGTAAAATTCACAAATCTAAATGAGCGTTGCAATTGACTTGAAAGGTTTTGTAAAGGTTTTGTAAAAGTTGTTTTTTTAATTTTAAATATTTTATTTTTTTCTCTGCTTTATTTCAGTTCTTTACCAAATTCCTTTGTATTTCTCAAAACTCAATTTTCCCCTTTTTGCATTATTTTGCTCAATACTTTATTTTTTGTTTGCAAAACTATTTTATGTTGCAAGTATATATAGCCTGAGATTAACTCCATATATTAAGAGAAAGAAGAAAAAAAAAAAAAGGTGAGTGTCCAGAGTGTCCAGCTGTTGGCGCTGCAAACCAAGCTCATGCAGCATCGCTGTACTGACAAACTGAACTGATTTCAGAAGCAGTGAGCGACTGCAGGATGAAGGAAAACAGTGGAGTAACAGCACAAAAACACACAAGCTACAGTTACAGCAGACATTAAAACTACCGAGTAAATAACTCGAGTGATAAACTGCTCCATTACAGCATGTGATGTTGGTTTACTTTTCAGCAGAGTGTGTGACCAGTTATTTTAAAGACAGAATGTAAAGGAAACCTCGTGTTCAGGACAGAACAGCAGACACTACAGTATCTGCATGTGTGTGTGTGTGTGTGTGTGTGTGTGTGAGACAGTAACTCACCCACGCCCTCGTTCCTGGAGTGCAGCAGTTCAGTGAGTGGAGCTGTGGCTCCTTCAGCCTCGATGGCCTCCGCCGCCTCCTTATCCTGCGCCAGCTCACAGAGGACGCCCGCTGCTACACGCTGGATGTTCTCGATGGGGGAATACAGCAGCTACACACACACACACAGACACAGAGGACTCAGTTTCTCTTTCAGTCTGTCCAGCTTTTGAGCAGATTAATCTACACCTCCAGCAGAGCTGCTGTAGACCATGATGACTGTAACGCTGAGCAGAAGGAAAGGTGTGCAGCAGACCTGTACGAACAGAGGGATGGTGTTGAGTCCTCTGATGACGATGCGGTTGTGAACGTCTCTGGCCAGGATATGAAGAGCACCGGTGCAGCCCTCTACGATCTCCTCCATGCGCACGCCCTCCTGCACACCACAGAAGAAGAGCAGGTGAGAAAACACTTCCTGCAGAAAACACCTTCCAGCTTCATTGGTCGAGCGGCACGCACCACGAACTGCTGCTGTGTGCCGCCCATGGAGGTGCGCCTCTGTGTGTCCTGATGCGCCCGCACCAGCAGCTGCACCAGGCGAGGGATGGCGCCCTGCTCGCGGAGCGGCGCGTGATTGGCCGGACACAGAGCCAGGTTCCGGATCAGACCCACAGTGGCCTGCAGAGAGCAAGAGTTCAGTTTCAGTTCAGTTTCCTTTACCTTTGTCATTCAAAATAAGTTGTAATGCAGAACGAAATGACATCGCATCAGACGCAGCAAGAACATTAATAACGTTGCATTACTATGTGCAGCATTCATTTACATTCATGCATTAGTCTGCCACATCAGCAACTACTAAAACACTTCAGAAGTTTCTAGAAGAGATCATACACAAGTATATAAATAGTCACACAGTATGTCTTTAAAGTGAGTAGGATTTTTCAATTCAATATTTGAAGACTTTAAAAGACATCCATCAGCATGTTTTTATAATAAAGATCTAGTGTAATACTATAAAAATGTCCACATAGTAATGAAGTGTTTAATGGCTCGACAGTAGTCACACATGATGGTGGTACATCATTATTCAATAAAACACACGAGTGACCAAGTCAGCACATTTAAGCATTCAGCAGACGCTTTATCCAAAGGATATAATATAATAACAATAACAGTAATTTAACAGGTGACTGCATTTAATTGCTGATTGAGAAATTAAAAAAGAAATTAGAATAGCAGCAAACAAACTAAGACAGACATGTGTAGCAAAGGCCATTTCCATTCAATTTTATGCGCATTTTTTGATTGCATTAAAAAAATAAAATAAATAAATAAAATAAAAGGCTTGACTGAAATGCAAAGATGCGCATACATTTTGAAAATATGCATTAAAAAAATGCACATAACAGAGTGGGATAAACCGTATACAATAAGAAAAAGTGCATAAACTACAACACCATTATACTGAATAATTCCAGTGTGCCCCACACCGTTGCAGCGGCAACCCGCTCGCGAAATACACACTCAGGCCCCATGTACACTAATACAGCTTAGATTAAAATGGCATTTTAGAATGAAAACAATCCACGTCCACAGTGTGCATCTCTGAACAGGCCTCCTTCCACACTATACCGCTGAAAAAGCACATCACATGACCACACACACACTCATGCTGCAGCATATGCACACGTTTGAGCTCCAGCAGTCAGCGGGTGCGTTGGGCACAAAACCCCAGAGAGCAGTGCACATCAGACTATCTGACGACTCTTCGCTCTTTTGAATCTATCAGGTAACGTGTCGCAGCATCAGTACACTGCTTCAGTCTCTTTCACCCTTGTACTTGGTCTTTTTAGTGTAAACCTCAGATACTGTTGATTGGTTCCTGTTTGTGGACTCCATTATACCGACACAGATCACTCTGCCTATTGATGCCAGAGTCCTGCAGGAAAAGTGACTGACAGGTGGTCATGTGTGTGCAACTTTATTTATTCATGATTTGGTTATGGGTAAAACAGACCATGCAGGTCAGCTAGATGAAACGGTAGGCTACAAATAAATCTGTGGTGAATTATTCAGAATTAATTTACTGCCGCCTACTATAACGAAGCCATCGTGGTGTTTCACATTAAACATTGTACGATGCCAAATTGTTCGACGCTGCCCAGCCCTAGACTGAATCCACAATTAAAGCGTTAGAGCGTCCGTTAAACGGTGGCCAGAAATTGTATAATTTAAACACTCTAATAAACAGACTTTGATTCTCATTGTTGCACACTCCCGCTGTGTGATTGGCTCTTAGATCAATAAAGAGTCCAGAGCTGATCACTGTTATTGACAAGTTTGATCACGATTCGATATCATATCGTTTATTAGCCCAGCCCTGACTGAGAATGAATAAACAACAAATATGAACATTTCCTGACCTCAAATAACAGGAAATCACCATTAAAATAAAGACTTCAGAATATTCCTGAAAGCCCACATTACCATGACAGGTTTACCTTAATGAGCGGCCAGTGTGAGGGCGGGTGGAGCAGCTTGACCACCACTGGCAGGCCATAGTGGAGCCGCACTGCATTCTGGGCCATCTCTGCGTCCTGGTGTCTGGAGGTGAGGTGTCGCAGCGCGCACACCGCCGGCTCCGTGATGTCCTCTCGGTCTCCCGCTCTGAGCACGGTCCGCACCAGCGACTCGATGCCACCCACCTGACACACCATCATCTTGTTCTTGTAGTTGTTGCAGGTGAGGTTGGAGAGGATGCCGGCGGCGCAGGTCACCACGTTAATGTCATCAGACGCCAGCAGCTGCACCAGCGTCCCCAGCAGACCCTCCATGCCCTCCTGCAGCAGGACACTATTTATTAAAGCGGCTCAAATAATTCAGACACTATTAGGGTCCAGGCATTTAAAGGCTGAGCCCTTTCTGAAGGAATAAACTGAGAATGAGGAACACTGAAGGTTTTATTTATTTATAAGTATTAGTTTGTGTAAGTCAGCTTATGCACAAATGTTTATAGTCATATTAGTGTATACGGTTTATATAAATTCCTTTAAGCTTCTGAGTCATTCAACTTTATTCTTATAAAAGTTCCCAACTATGTATAAATTTATAAAGTTCCCAAGAAAAAATTGCCATGCATTTTCACCATCTCTGCTAGACTGAGGACTGCACGTACCTGCTTTGTGGCAGCATCTGACAGGTTTCTGAGGGTCCAGAGGCAGTTCTGAACCAGACGCTGACTGGGGTCTGTCAGGTGAAGGCCAAGAGCCTGCATACCACCTGAAGCCAAAGGAGAAATGGGATTGAGAAAGAATAGAAGCTACACTGTTCAGATTCTGTAGAGGATACATACAGGAATCAGAGCTCAATTCAGTACCTCTTAGAACCTTAAAGACTCTTTTACATCCAACCAGTAACATTGCTGACAATAACTATATGCTAATTGCAAATATGCAATAATTCAAAAGAGAGAGAACCTAGAACAAGACATCTACTTGTCTGGCTGCCTCTCTGATATGAAGATTTATAAAAATACCAAATAATAATTGGACTGGTTAAATAAATCATCTAAACACAAGCATTACACATATTCTGAACGCATTGTGTGTTACCAGAGAGCACAGATATGGATGTATATGCTCATGTACGCACCAGCCTCCACGATGGCAGGTTTGTTGCTGGAGCAGACGGACAGCACTTTCAGCACACGACTGGTGGTCCACAGCAGCTTCTCATAGTTGTAAGTCCTCATGATGTTGACAAGAGCCTGCGGTCCTCCACTGGCCAGGATGATCAGCTGAGGAGCAAGAGCACAGAGATCACTCAACACACAGTATTTTACTCCATTATACAAGGTCTCCACTTGAGTACAAATGTCTAATTCACTGACTAAAGCGGAGCTAGAATGAACGAAGAAAGACTTAATGAAACAAATTCCCTGATAATCCATGACCTGTACGAAAGTATTAAATATCCTTTTGTCTTGGCCAACAAATAATAAATAAATAAATTTGTATGTGTATATATATATATATATATATATATATATATATATATATATATATATATATATATATATATATATAAAATTTTTGAACACACCCACCTTGCTCTCCTGGTTGCCGTAGGCCAGGATCTGCAGGCAGTCTGTGGTGATGGCGAGGAACTTGACGTTGGTTTTGTTGAGCAGCGCCACCATCTTCTGCAGACCTCCAGCCAGACGCACAGCCATCTTGGCCCCTTCCTGATGCAGCAGGAGGTTGTGGAGGGTGGTGATGGCGTAAAACAGCACACTGTCCACAGGAGACCTGAAACACCAGCACACGTTAACTGGAGAACACACGGCGTCTGATGAGCTTCACTCATTGGTTTCATCTCGAGTCGCTGCAGTGGTGTTTGTTTACTGGGTTAGGTTGAAGAGTCACTCTAGGCTCAAACTGACCATACCCAGAGGTCGATGCTTCAATAACCCAAGCATGCAACACACAATAGCTTGGCACAAAATATTGCACCTTTCAGCAATACAAGTTTGCCAATAATATTGCCTCGATAACTCTGATGAAATGATCAGTCCAGCATCTCTGTTCTCACCCGAGCATCTTGACGAGGGCCGGGATCCCTCCGCTCTTGAAGATGGCCAGCAGCCCCTCTCTGTGGTGGGACAGGTTGTGCAGTGTGCCGGCGGTGCAGCGGGCCGTCTCCACATCGTTGGTGTTCTGCATGGTCCTCACGATGGCCGACACCATCTGTGGAGAGCGCATGATGGCATGGCGGGACGCCTCCTTCTTGGAGAGCTGGTGCACCATCACTGCGGCTTTATTCACCACCACCTGGAGGAGCAGGAGAGATGGAGCACGTCTGAAAGTGCACTGATGAGACGCTTCAACCTGAGGAATCTGCAGCTCAACACTTCTTTATTTGTTTAATGCAATGTCAGCTGCTATGCAGGGGTTCTGCAGGTTTCACCAAGTCAGATTCAAGACTATCATTAATTACATTTCAGACCAAAACAAGGGAGTTTTTTCCTAATGGCCAATGGAAAACATTTGTACATGCCACAATAAAAAAAATAAATAATAATAATAATAAACATTTACATTTGTAATTTCTTAGCCATATTTGAAATAAGATGCCAAAACAAGCAAACTCTAGTCATACATATAATTTTTCAGCATAAATTCTTAAAAGAAAATAAGATTAAAGTTTTAAACACTGTAATTAAGTATGCACAACAGTGTGTTCAGGTCAGTGTCCTCGACAGTACAGCTGTAAACTCATGGAAATCTTAAGCAAATGTTATCGTAAAGGTGCAACTGGATATATGACTAAACCATACCAGTAAACAGAGTTAATAAAGCTAAGTTCTATTCAGAGGGATGGGTGTTGGCCTGATTGGGTAACTTTACATGGACAAAGGAAAACGAAGACCAGTTTAAACGAAGACCAACAACACATTTCAGTGAATTTAAGACTTTAAGGCTAAAGTAATGTAGTTTCTGAAGTGTAAGACATTAACACCCAGGGGACACCCTGCTATGGCCATTCTCTCTGCGAGAACAAGTATGGCATGTCAAACTACAAACAGCAGCATTTCAGATGCAATCTTCTGTTGATTCTGACAACAAATCTGCGCTCAGCGCATGGCTAAATATAACCTTAATAAGGATGTGTCGCAAAGACTTTCCATTTTTATCTCCAGCTGTAAGTAAACTGTTCATAGCATCAAAGAACCTTTAGGCTTAAAGGCAGTTCACCCAAATATTTACTCACTATTTCCCTTAGGATCTTCTAAACCCTTGTGCTTCTTCTGTTCAACATGAAAGATATTTTGAAAAATGCTGTAAACTAGCCATTGACAAATACTACAGAAGCCAATGCTTACAGAATATTATTCAAAATATTACCTTCAGTGTTCAACAGAAAGACTCAGCTATGGAACAAGTGAGTGGAGAGAGACAGAACTGTAAACGCAGGAGTGAGCTCTCCCTGTAGGAGCGTCTGAGCAGTCCAGTGTGCAGTAAAGCAGTGTTTTCTGACCTGGTCCTCGTCGTTCAGCAGTTTGGTGAGCTCTGGAATGGCTCTGGTGGCGAGCTCTGCATCGTCCTGGTAGTTGATGAGGTTGACCACCGCATGCTTCAGCATCTGCGACGGCTCCGCCAGACGCTGTACGTTTGTTGGATGAGCAGAGTCGAACTGGGTGGAGGCCATCGGGACGCTCTCATCCAGAGTCTCTGGGAACATGGCGGCTCGAACCCTCTGCGCCCGCGTCATGGCATACTGCCCGTCCAGATCTACAGGAGGAAGAGTGATTATCCAGACAGGAAGGAGAAATAAAGGACTACAGTGTCAATCAGCTCTATTGTTTACTAGTCAGTGCACTCATCAGGTCACAAACCATTTTAAATGCCATCTCAATGGCTAAACTCTTATTGCACTGAAATGTTCACACCTGTTAAGGACGCATGGTGTATTTTCAGGAAGCACGAAATAAGAAACACGCGACTCAAATCATCGAATGTAATAACAAACAAGAGACATTTATCTCAATTAATGTTCATCAATTAACATGAATAAACAGACAGGTTAGGAAACGTCTAGCAAACATTTATAATAGTTTCTGAAATGTTGCTGGTAATTAAACATTAGTTATTATATAGTATTATAATGTACATAAAAAAAGGTCAAACATATATGAAAAGGATAAGTTCTGCTGTGGTTAATAAACGTATACTCCATATGTATTATAGTCAGTGTGCTGTGGCGAAGGCATTGGCGTACCTGCCACCTGCTCAGGTGTGAAGGGCTGGCTGAAGCCCTGCTCCCACTCGTACAGCACCTGGTTGTCCAGATCCTCTTCCTCTGGGTTTCCTTTGCCTGAGAGCGAGGGCGCAGTGGTGGTGGCGCCCGAGTGAATCCCTGAATCCAGGTAGGACTGCTGCTGCCAGTGGCTCACTGCAGCCTTACGGTCCTGCTCCATGGCCATGTCCAGCTCCATCAGGTCAGCTGCAGCACACACACAGAACATTAAAGATCCCGCCAAGTGCTCTGAAACATGCATTATTCAATGTTTCTCAACTGAATAAAGGGGCGGAGCTACAGTACGTCCTGCCCTGTTCTTGAAAAACCACCAATAGGGTTTAGTTTATCACAGCTCTGCTAGTGATTGGTTAAACAAGCGCATCGAATTAAAGGCAAATGAGACAACATAAATCATTGATTTAAGCGTAAGAGACAAACCGCAAACATTTGTTTACATCTTCTAGATGAGAACTGTCACTTTTAGAGACTAGATCCTAGATTATGGATATCCTTAAAACTAATATGGATACTAATATAAATACATTTATATTTAATTTTATGTGTCCTATAAATGCCTTTAAAGATTGATATCAGCTTTTCAGTCCATGTCATGCCAAAAAGTTTAACTCACAAACATTTTATACATACCACTTTACTATAATAATAAAACATTAACAGTAAAAGGCATAAACACACAAATACATCTAAAAAAAAATCTAAAACAGAAATTTTAAAATTAACTATTAATAAAGATTCTACCATTTTTGCAGGACTCCCACTGAAAGATATTTCCTTTAAAGTCTCTCTAGATAAGTCAAGTTTAACAGCTCGTCAGCTTGCAGAAATTTGGAAATCCAAAATGAAAAGGCAGTAAAATTAACCAAGAGAACTTCTCAAATGTACCAAACAGATTAGTTTTAGTAATTTTAATTTAAGTTTACATTTATTTTTCCCCCTTCTAATTTTCTCAATGTCCACATGAAATCTAAATCTAGAATGTTTATTTTGCCAACTCATGTTGTTATTTAAGGTAATTGATCAACTCAAGTTAAACCACCATTGAAAAAAAAAAGTTTTTGTAATCTTCAGAGTCAGGTCTATGATCAAGCTATAATCCATGCACATTTCTAATTTCAAACATTACAAATCTGTAGAGTTATTCACTATAGTTTTATCACCAAAACTATTTAAAACATTACACTTTTACATTTGACCTCTAGATTAAACCCGATCCACATGGCTGCCGTTTGAACCGGTTACCGTGAGGCTTTGGCATGTTTCATTTCTATAGTGGAACTAAACACTAGGGCTGTGTGACGTGGGGAAATTATCTAATTGTAATTTTGTTTAACAGATATTGTGATTTCAATTTGATCTGTGATTTAATTTTGTAGTCGAGCTTCAGCTCAATATTCTGTATTGCAGCGTCTGACTGCTAAAATGCAGTTAGTTATAGGAACTGAAAAGATATTAACCAACTCCAACTTTTATTCAAATTTGTTTATAAATATTCAGAAACTAAACATTAATTTTAATCTTAAGTAGCGAGTTATGGCGTTAGTTATCTCCCGGTGCCTTCGTGATGTTTTTTCATACGGTGTAACAGCTGCAAACAGCTCTGACATTGTACTTTGCTATTGCTTGCTAGTAGATGGAGCGTCACTGGCAAGACTTTAGTTGACTTTATAGCAAGACGCTCCTCGTATAGCCGCCTGTGGTGTGTTGTTAGGTGCTGGTTGTTGTTGTATTTCCTCATGCTGTGGCAACAGTTCTGCGACAGCTCTTACAAATGACTCGTTTTTGTTCGGTGTCTGTGAAATCAAAATATTCCCATATTACCGACGTGCTGTTTATCTTTGATATTAATTCATCTGTTAACCCCTTCAGACCCTGCGTCCATTACATGGTCATCACATGACATCCCATTATTCTGAAATTTGGAACATAATTCAGGTCTGAATGGGTTGATGCTTCTGAAGCGGCAGATGCCATCATCCCACTTGTCCACGCTTTGCTGTTTGTTTTATTGTGGGCGTTGCGAATAGTTCGGTTGCACAATTTTGGTTGTGCAGAACGAAAGTGTGCTCACTCTTTTGGCTAGTAAGTCGGACAGACGGCAGACATGTTTGCACTGGGTGGAGGAAATTATATAATCCATATACATTTCATATTGCAGCCTATAGCGATAAGCTAAATCACAATTTTTTAAAATCGCAATTCCATTTAATCTCATAACCCTACTAACTATATTAAGCACAAAACACATGTTGGTTATTCGAGAGTTAAGTGAAAACATTCAGCAAATGAACCTGTTCTTCTGTCTACGTCACTGGACAAACACTGATAAACATTCAGGTTCACCTGGTCAAACACTCACCCTGGCTAGCCATCGTTGCGTCAATCCTTTAGCCTGAGCGACTTTCAAACCTGCAGAGAAAAATGAACACACTACATGACTACAAGCATAAAGTCCATTTCCCAAACTAGCCGAAACACGGTCTGTTTCCGTCAGACAGCAGCTGCTTTTACAAGTGAGAAACCGGCTTTAATCTCAGCGCAGACCCTGGAGCTAGTGTTCACTGTGGAAACTCCCCTCATTAGGCTGCAGGGCGTCACGCGAGAGTCGACAGCAGCACACACACACAGACTGAGTCATTAGGAATTGCCAGTAAAAACATGCAGAAGGGGTTAGTCAGCTTCATTCATCCAGAGCACATCAGGAGCCGGAGATTTATTTCATTATAAACAGCCTGAAGTCACGAAACCAACATCTTAAGGTGCTTATAATGAGCTTAATGAAGTTACCCGATCCCCTATCGAGGACGCTACTCTGAGTATAGCTCGCAGGACTATTATTCCGAGAACAAAACATGAAGACATTGGCTTACATTAACAACTGAAAAAATTAAGTTAATATACTATATGAAAATAATAAAATTATAACAAAAATAATTATATATATTGTTTTTTTCTTGTTTTTTTATAAAGGCAATGGTGTGTGTGACTCAGGATTAAAACTTCCCTCTATTGAGAGAGTGAGAGGGCGGGGGGTTTAGATCACCACAAACACACACACCGTAATCAGAAGACTGAAAAACAACCAACAAATGCCAATATTTAGGTCACACACAGGAAACGATTATGCGAGAGGATAAATGCCAAATACTAGACGATTCACACTGTAGCATGAGCTGCTGGAGTACACACACACACACACACATTCATGAGTGGGGTTTACACAAGACACTCCAAAGCGGCTGGATAGAGCAAAACAACTGAACAGAACCCAGAACTCAATATTGAAAAAAACATCTTTAACTTGACAAACAGTCCCAAAATAAAACTTCCATTTATACATAAGGTAAAAAAGCTTAAAAACATTAATGACTTAAATATGTCAATTAAAACAGCTAGTCAATCTGGGGTCAGTAATGTTTCTTTATAAGCTTGAAGAGAACGGTTTTAAAAGCATTAAAGCCCGCATTTATTGATCATATGAAAAGAAATCAATGAATGTTTATTTACTTATGAAAGCGGGCAAATATATATTGTTGGCAGTTTTATATTGATTTCAGTAATATTATGAACTAATTAACACTGTTCTGAAATCATAAACCTTTACATCTTTTAGTAGAAATTATACCAGGTTTGCTTTGTTTACCAATTCTAATTGAATTTGCATCGTAAACCTTAAAAATTAAAGTTATTTATTTCATGTTTTACGTTTGCTGCTTAGTTGCTATACTCCCAAAATTATTACCCAAAGATCTGCAGATTCTGACCAGATTCAGCACAGAAACAGTCAGAAGTGGTGTGCAGATGGTGTCGGGCTGGTAATGCCCTCAGTAAAGCCAGACTCCGGCCGGCAGTTCTCCTCAGTGGAGCGGGTCAGGGGTGGAGGACACTTTCAGAAGCGTGAAGAGAACCCACAACCTAATGAAAGCTGCCGAGCACTCTCAATGTGAAGTAAATCTCCTCACACTGGCCTCAGAACAGTGCAGTGGACTTCTATTTTCAAGAGGAAACTGCTCCTGTCTTCCTTCCTGAGGGGCGTTGGGCTCGCCAAGCAGCAATTAAATCAATGAAACGAACCTAAGATCTCTCAGAGAAACCAATCAAAGACGTGCAGATCAACATCAAGCATACATCAAGGCGAGATTAAACTCTTCTGCACAAACGGCTTTAATTAATAGCTGCCTTATGACCAGAGGGACTTTCTCTGAAGCGCATCTAGGAAGCGGCGGCTCTCAGAAATGGAAACGCTGACGGAAACTGACTTCCTGTTGCAGTGGAGAACATCAGCGCTCACCTCAGAAGAGCCGAAACACGTCACGTTATCAGAGGTGAACGAAACGCACACACAGCAGAAAAACAACAGGCTGATTTCCACATCAGCCACATTGATTGCTGATCTTGCTGAATGTGTGGTTTATCAAAACACACACACTCAAACACACACACAGATTTACTGCAGCAGAAAGGAAGAGCGTCTATTCGGAACAGAACCGCATGTTTACTATCAGCTTGTGCATAGAAAGCAGCATTACGTGCATTATCAGAAAGTGCAGCAGTTAGTGTGTTTGTACTTCAAATAGGCATAAGCCGGTATAAGACTGTGATGGTATGATAACCTTGGATGAAAACATCACGGTATTGTGATTACAGAACTAAAATATATTCTTCTTAAATGTTTGGGGAAAAAAAATCTGCTTTAAAAGCGCTTTACTTTATTTTGAGAAACATGTAAAGTGTTTTGGAGCAGTAATCATGTCAGCCTGATTAATTGAAATGTATTATAGACTTCTGCTGTCTTTGTTAGATTCAGAAACACTGATTTCTTTACAAATTAAAACGGCATCTTTGGATATCGTTTCTGCTGGAGATCCTGTTGTCCAAAAATCAAATAAAAATGTTTTAAAAAAATTGTAAGATATCAAAGTTTTCATTTTATTGTTATTGAGTTGTGATAATATTTCTTATTAAAACATTCTCCTAGTAAAGTGCTGTTGTTACAGTGCTTCCCACAGGTTTGAAATGGATTTGCACTGGTAGACGAATTAAAAAACACCATTTACCCACATCACATAAACAGTTAACTATATAAGACAAACAAAACATTTAATTTTTTTATAATAAGTGTATTTATCATGACACGGTTCCTTTTCAATAGGTTAAAAGTAAAAAAAAAGACTGAAATAAAAATAAAATACTTCTATGCTATTCAGGAGCCATGTGCACCCACTGACAGGTCAAATATGCTTCCCTCTCTGTCAAGTTCAAAGCAAACTTGAATACCAAATGCCTGTGTGATATATTAACATGATCAAATTAATGAAATTATCAGCAAATGAGAAATAAATGGCAGAAAAGTTAAGACAATATCTCCAAAAACCAAATCCAAATCATAATTGCAAGATTACAACGAGTAGATTTTTATTTATTCATTTTTAAATAAGGCAAATGTGTTAACATTAATATGCTGAGCATATAGCAACGTGTGCAAAGTAGTGCAAAGTGTGCAAAGTAGTCTTTCATAAAAGAGTAATGCAAAAACACACAAGAAAGCGAATGTAAAAGTTGAATTCCCGACATTTAAGGAGATTTAGAAACCCGGGCTGGACAAATTTTTAAAGTTTCAAATGCATGCGTCTCTGTGGGTTTGAAGAGCACAAACTGTCTGCATGAATGTTGACAGGTCTCGCTGGCACAGAACGAATCTGGTAAACTTGAAATTTTCCAATACTTAATCGCAGAACTTTGGTTTATTGACAAAAAGAAAAAAAGTGTTAAAGGATGTTAATAGTAAAATAATGCGTCACTAAATATACTGGGCAGCTGGGCGGCCCGCCCAATAAAGTCATGTTTAATTATTTCCTTAAAATAAACAGGTCAAGGATTTCAGATGTATTTAATTCTAATTCAGACTAAAACTGACAGTGCAAACACAGAGCCCTATCATACACCCGGCACAAGACGCGTTTGGTGCAATTTGTTGGCATTTTTAGACCAGCACAATGCTAGTTTTCACGTTATGCACCACATTGATTAAATAGCAAATCCATTTGCACAACTCTGTGGACTAATGGGTGTGCTGGTCTAAATTAGGTGTGTTAAGGTGCATTGATGACGAGTTGCTATTTTGAAAAACTGAAATGGACCACACAGTTGACCAACTAAAATCTACAGACTCCGCCATGTAAACAGACAGAAAGTGCCATGGAGGAGCACAATTGACCCTTAAAGGGAATAGAAGACGAGACTCTGACTGGTTTAATCTCAAAACACACCCAGAACTCATGAAGAGAATAAGCACAGCCCTGTAAAGCTGCAGTCACACTGGACTTTTCTCCCCATAGACTTCATCCACACGCACGCCAACGCGTCAGACCGGAAACGCAAGCTCCTGCAACAAGTTTTGCAGTTCACCGTGTTGGAAAGTTCAAGCTTAAGGAACTCTGACCTGCGGATTTGCATTATGTGACAGCGTGAGACCAGTCGAGGTTTAAAACATGACCTCTCTGGACAGAAATTTAAACCATGGAGCTACGCTGGCTTTGCTAATGTCTAATCATCTTGCTTAATCCCGTCTCTTACCACAGTGCCGTACGACAGAATTTCACATGCTCAAACTCTAGTGCGATTGCGGCATTAGGCCATGTGCCGGGGCTGCCGGGTCCATTTATCCATCATTTAAACAGCAAACGTGATATTAATGCTTTTGCGCCCTGAGCTTCAGACTTTGCACCTAGATGGTTAAAATAGAGCCCCGAGTCTTTAAACACTATTAATAAACAAACCCTCAGCAGATACTCCAACTCTGATGGACGGCCATCATTTTCCATAACTCCGCCTATTAATTTTAGCTTTGGGCCTCCAGCCAATAGCAGAACAGGAAATACTCAGGAGGCGTGACTAAGAGTGCGACCCCATCTGATTGGTCAAAGTTAAATAAACCATCAATGCATAAAACAAATGTCCTTCATCAGATGTCTGCCACGCGTATACTGCACAGAATACTTTACTGATCTAACCTCCACAGCTAAAGCCAGAATAACAGGAGCACAGAACACCGCTCCAGCCGCATGCACTGCTCTGCTCTGCAGCCAATCCGCAACTGGGTTAAGTGCTGTTTCTCAGCTGGATGAGCACAGACACACACACTTGTGATGGAGGAACTGCAGAATCCCAGCGTCAGACATTGCTCTGAAGCAGCACTACTGCGGCTGAATATTTCAACTTCAGCTCCAGAATATAACAGAGCTGCTTTCACATGCAGGTATTTACAGGAAGACTCGCTTATGATAACATCCTGGAGCCAGAACTGGACATTCCTCTCCTGAGTGTGTGTGTGAGTGTGTGTGTGTACTTCAAATACAGGCCTGCACTGAGAGACTCGCTAGCGGGAAACAGTGCTGTGAAGCTGTGCCAATGTTAATAAATTAGGCATTTTAAGGGTGCATATGAAGGGAGAGGGCCTGATCTGAGAGCAAACAGAGGCAGCTGTGCTAGTTTATATGCGTGCGTGTGTGTGCGTGTGTGTGTGTGTAGTCCTCCACAGTGGTGAGACTGACCTGGAATTAATTTAGCAGACAATAAACACTGACTGAAGGCAGTCGAACACAAACTCGCAGGGTTTTCCTTGCGGCACCAGTCTGCGTTCCCCACAGCCGGATGAACAGAACCATCTCTGTGCCATTACTGGACGGATTTGGAAACTAAACCTTCAAAGTAAAGGAAGGCGGGCTGATTAGCTCTCGTAATGGGCTCGTTTACGCTTTATTGACTGTATTCTGTTGAGATCGGCTGATGCTGGACTGCAGCACTTTAGCGGTCGTCAGAGCATACATTTTTATTTAACACCATGTCAGCAACAACAGCTATTTCCATGGTAAAGCAGCGACTGTTTAAACGTTCAAGAGTGAAACTAGATGAAAGACTGACTAAATTAATGCTTAAGTTTTTATAACTGATAATAATTCAATTTGAGCTTCATGATACTGGAATGATGTGTGATATTGGAGTATTGCAATAATGACATGACTCTTGAAAAATGCTACTTTTATTTGCCGTTTTTAAACTTTCATAATAAATTTTTAATAATAAATCATTTTTACCTTTCAGATTTCAATTTACACACGGTCAAAGTGCAAACATGCAGTCTTTAAAACACCATGGCTGTGTCCGAAACTGCATACTTCCATACTATATAGTACGCTAAAATCAGTATGCAAGCAGAGTAGTAGGTGGGAATTCATGGAATTCAAAAATCAGCATGCAAGAAGTACCTACTACTACTACTACTGCGAGAGAACTCGTAAATGGAAGTGAAGCGATGCAACTGGCGCAGGTAGGTCACATGACCATGACAAAATGGTGGGTGTAGTACATCCGGATTGCATTCATACTTCTCACATTCATACTGTACAGAACGTACTTTTCTTATGGCCTAGTTGTACTTTTCAATTCAAATTCAGCACCTATAAAGGGGTTTCGGACGCAGCCTACAGCCTACTACTCAGTAGTTACCGCATTTTAATTTAAATGTACTACTACCGAGGAGTATGAAGGGAACCTGGATGTACTACATCCACTATTTTGTCATGATCACATGACCTACGTCATACGACCTACGTGACCTATAAGTTGAGTCGCTTCACTCCCATTTATAAATTCTCTCGCAGAGCATCATGGGTCAGCATAGCATTCATCTAATGCGCATTTCAGATTCTCGTCGGAAGTAGTAGTTCATCCTGGTACTTCTCACATACTGATTTTCGAATTCTATGTATTCGGACATACTACTCGGCTTGCATACTGTTATTAGCATACTATATAGTATGGAAGTATTCGATTTTGGACGCAACATATGACTGAGTGAAAACCTCATTGGCTGTTGTCGACTCCACCCATAAGTGTTTATTTTCAGCTCAGAGTTTAAGCTTGAGCCACTCCAGCCAATAGCAGAACAGCAACTACTGTGGGGTGGAGCTGAAAATAGTATAGACCCATCAAAATGGTCAAGTTTAGGCAAACCAATGCAAAAAATAAACATGCGTGCAATACTTATATCAAATATGCGATTACCGTGATAATTGTGTAGCTCTAATCTTAATTAAATGTCATTTTAGACACTGTAAACGGAACCTGACGGAGTTGAAAAGTCGTATCCAGCTTTCACCGGAAGTTTATCAGTGGCTGAAAAACACTTGCCGGCGCACTGCATCACCTTATTTTCTTTCATAGCCGGCCGTTTCACATCATCTCCGCGTGTTTGGAAGGGAAACCGCTGTTGTTTTTAAACACACACACACACACACACACACACGCGGAGGGTTTTTCCCGCACACACGCGAATCACAGACTCGTAATCGTGGAAAAGTTTCGACAGTTCAGTTTCCACCGGCTGCAGTGTGTGAAGCAGCTGTCCTGGAGCTCAGACACCCGAGCCCTCCTCAAACACGCAGGAATGCATCTTTGTCTCGGTGAGGGCAGCTCAAAGAAGAGTTCAGAAAGCGGACCAGAGTGAAGCCCGCGGAGCGCGTGCACGAGCTGGACATAACGCGCGCCGCCGACAATCTGAATTCAACAGCAGAACTTCAGAACAAAACACAGAATTTCTGAATTTCACATCACATTTCTACAAGCTAAGCGCAAATAAATGAAGCTGTGTGGCAGGACAAGCTCTGTTATTATTATTATAGATATAAAAAATATACAAGAATACCGATTATCATAGGCTAATTCACTTACAGCTGACACTTTAACTGGACTAACATTAGTTTCAGCAAAACCCAAACTCCACAGCTCAGCCCACACTTCACTATTATATGACGTTAATCAATCCTCGAGGTGTTTAATGAGTTATTATGACACACAAAACCGCTGAAGGAGAGAAACTGCTGCTAAATCAGGACCAGACTCCAACAAAGAGGAAAATCTCAATGAGAGCGCCACAGTGAGAGCATGAGCGTGTTCATTAATGCTGCAGATCAGTGATTAGTTTATTCATCATCATCCTCATCCTCCTCATTGATCTGCGGCTCCTGCTGATAGTGTTTATTATTGGTCATCAGGTTGTGACTTCATCAGCCGGAGCCACAGCACTGACTGAATGAAGGCTAGCTCGCTAACATTAGCCGCTGTCAGCCACCGTAAATAAACACCGTAAAGTCTCCGTGTGTCCCGCACAAACCTGCAGTCAGACACCGGTGATGACCAAAAAGCGTCACGGTAAAGCAAGCGGTGAACCCTGAGCAGCCCCGGGTGCTCGCCCCTCCCGCATTCAGCACTCAATCTTACCTGAACCGGAGAGCTCCGTGCAGCGGCCGTGGAGCCTGACCTTCTCGTTGGTGTCTTGTAAGCAGTGAATCCACCGGTGTTTCTCGTTATTCTCTCCGGTCACGGTGCGTCAGTTCTCTCCGCTCTCCCTTCTCCACTTCTTAAAAGCGGCGCTCGGACCCAGCTCTTATACGAGGAATGCAGCTCGTGTGTCCTTCCGCCGCCGGAAAATTAGAGCGCGGCGGTGGCTCCGTCCCCGGTGAGTGACGCCGAGCGACAGCATCACACGGACACGGTAATAATCAATAAATGCTTGACAGCACCGAAAGCCCGGGTCAGGATTGTGATGACAATCTGCAGAGACGCCGGGAGAGTGGAATGCGCGGAGGCATACAGTGGCTCCAGGAAGGGCGAGGTGCGGTCATTAGGCTGGAATGTGGATCTCCTTCTGAACGGATACAAAGGTGAGATTATTGAGGAGAAACATCTGAGCTCAGCTCTCTCCTGCGCCTTCACATGCGCTCTTACTTACTCATGTCGCTATTATTGCTTATTTTTTACTTTATTCCTTCATTATTTGCCTTTATATCTCTGTACAACACTTTGAGCAACTTAAACATGCTCTGAACTAAATAAAGTTGAAAGTTTATTTACCATCCTCATATCCTTCATAGTAAATCATGAGGAGCACTGAACACTGATTATTGCTCATGCATGCTCTGATCATGACTATATTTCTGTCAATATTAACACTTGATATTTTAATAGTAGTATTAATAATAAACGGCCTTAAAGCAAGAAGGTCTCTGGTTCGAGTCTCGGCTGGGTCAGTTGGTGTTTCTGTGTGGAGTTTGCATGTTCTCCCTGTGTTGGTGTGGGTTTCCTCCGGGTGCTCCGGTTCCCCCCACAGTCCAAACACATGCGCTATAGAGGAATTGATTAACTAAACTGGCCGTAGTGTATGAGTGTGTGTGTGAATGAGTGTGTATGGGTGTTTCCCAGCACTGGGTTGTAAAACACATGTGACACAGGCGACCCCTGATACATAAGGGACTAAGCCGAAGGAAAATGAATGAATGTATAATAATGTCAACACTGATTGTAAAACTCTAACTCTAGCAGAACACTAATGCACTGACAAGTGCAGACCGTGTACATATTGAGCTTTTGTTTATGTTGTATATTTGCTACAATCAAAGATAAACATAAAATTCCCTAAACTCATGTTTTGCCACTGTTCATGTTAACACTTAAAACACGTTTATAATAGTCAAAGTTTTATTTTCATATATCAGTAAAGCCAATAAATCAATAAGGAGTGAGGTTAACCTGGATAACACTGCTCTAGCTGGCCTTCATTACAACCCTAAACATCACTCCCATCCCGGATGAGCGAACCCACCCGTCCCACTGCACCCACCCGCTCTGAGCTGGGATGGAACTGGTGGAGGCTGAAGACAGTGACCAGCAGCTTCTGTTGCTATGGAGCAGCTGTACAGGTCAGAGGAGTGAGCTTCACCTGCACACACTACAGCAGCCGGCCTCCACTACACAAGACAGAAGCTCAGGAGTAAAGCATGAGGAGCGCTGACAGCAGAGTTCTGCTCCATCATCTGGAGGAATATTTCACAAACGACACATCATCATCTGTGTTTTAGATTTGCGTAATTTACAGTAAACTGTATCATCACACACACACACACACACACACACACACACACACACTCTGTGGTTTTAGGAAATATCTTTCACTGGCGTCAGTCTTGTTGTGAAACGTCAGATTCGCCAGTTTTATTTTCTCTGCGATAAACAATAAACAGCAGCCCGGATAATGAAAAGCAGAGTGTAGGAGC